AGAATATGGCAAATGCAAAGTTAAAATATGAGCCCACAAGGGAATCACGGGCATCTTACATGAAAATGAAAATCAATGAGAATTTATGGATGAATGTGATTCAATGAAAACAGTAGAGCATATCTATATATATATATATATATATATATATATATATATATATATATATATATATATACATGAAATAAAACCTTTTTGATTCATTACACACATAACCTGCACGTTCTGTAAAAGAGAGGCTTTATGAATCTACTCAACGGGGGATTTCCTGTACTCTAAGTGCTGTGAGCTCTTGGCAGAAAGGCCGGTCAAACACCCGCAGTTGTCCTTAATATGCTCTGAATATAAGAAACTGGAGCCAGAGCTGTGTTTGAGATGCTCTCATCGGGAGGTAATGGCTTTAAGTAAGACTAGACTTTAGCATAATAATTTTTTTCTCAATTCATAAGACACATTTCCTGAAAGCTATAGCGTATTATGGCATAACTGCAAATTTAATACTTTTACAAATACAATTTACAAATAATTGAATTGAAAAGTCCTAATACTTCAACACAAAATCACACATTTTATTCTAAACTAGATTATGTGAATTATTTTTCATACCTCAAGTTGATCTTTTAACCGCTATGTTAACTCGTTATTACACCGTTTGGAATTTGACTTTATCTGTCATCAGCTGCCATTTAAATCTTGGCTTATTCACTCAGAAGGTATGTAGTAGTCTGAAACCAAGCACATACAACACCTAAACCTTTAGCTATAAAGAGCTTTGTGCATCTCTGGGGCCCCAGTGTTTAAGGGCCTCTTTAGTACTCTGCGCCTCTCCAGGGTTCTCAAGCCTGAGACGCCACCTGGGTCTCCACTAGAGGTGTCAAAATGAATTGTTTCTACAATGCATCGCAGACAGGGACAAATCGGTTCAGTAATAGACCATAACTGATTATAACATACTCACGCTTTTCATCATTTGCCACATTTCTGCTTTGTCGCAGTAGAATACGATGGCGGAGGGAGGTGAGTCTCTAGTGCGAGTAATTAAAAATGCTCCAACTACTGATACCTGTTAAATACTCTGGAGCCGCAGTATAAGCTTCCCTCACGCAGCTACTTTTCAGATAAAATTGTACCGGAACTGTACTACGTAACCAAAGCCCAGATTTTGGCATAAACGATCCAAGCTCATCAAGTTGCAATAACGGGATTCTAGGACTTTGGTCGCGACAGAGCTGTATGTGACAATAACAACGCATTACATTAGTAATGCATCACATGTGCCGCAAACAAGAGCCGTTTATGAGTCACACACGGGTATTCATCTGGCAGAGCTGATGTCTCAGGATAGTGAGGAATGGCAGATATCAGATAAAGATGTAGTGCTTGTGACAGATAATGCATTGAACATGATCGCTGCAGCTCAATTCGTAACATTCCCTCACGTAAAATACATCGCACATACACTAAATCTGGCATCTCAGCTGTGCTCTCCGGGATTTCTTCCTTCGCAGCACTACAGTGATCCACTGCCTGAAAGTGAAACAGCATTGTCTTGGCCAGAGAAATCACAAGCTGATAACTGATATTGTAACAAGATGGAACAGTACATGTGATATGGTTGACGTTCTCGGAACAACAACCTGCAGTTTATGCAGCCTTGCTGTCACCAGAAGTCAAAAAAGGTGAGACAGATCTGTGAACTCTTACTGAAACAGATGTGACAAATGGAGAGGATGCTGTGAGGGCATTAAAGATGCAACAACCCTTCAACATTTGTTGAAGAAGTGTGTTTTCACTGAGAAGGTAAAATTAAAGTTTCAGTTCATATATCTGACTGTGTTTACATTGTGATGCATCGAGATAATGTATTGAACCAAATCGATAATCTGATAATCGTAATCGAACCGAACTGTGTATAGACCAGTATAGGTTCACACCTTTAGTCTCCACCTGAATTACTGCCTGGATGGACGTTTGAATCCCCCCTGAAAATAATCTTAGTTGTGAGGTCACACTTTCTGAAAGGGGGGAGGAATGTCAGAACTGTGTTTTGTTTCTTTGCCCTCTTCCCTGTCTCCTGCTCACAATCACTCTCCACTCATTCAATCCCCACCACAGCTGTGCCTAATCTCAGAGTTTCACTTCTCACCAATCACTGTCCAGTTCCCAGTCAGCACTCCTCTTTATTCCTTCACTTCTCCTTCCTTCATTGTGAGATATACAGTTCACACTGACTGACTCACAATAATAACGTTGCATGCCTGGATCTGCTCCTGCTTCCTGTTTCCACTATTGCGTTTCTCAGTAACCTCTGATCCACTCTACTTCCTGCAAGATTCTTTCTTCTCGGCTCGCTCCTGACCTGGTAACATGCTTCACCCTGTTGTTTCTCCCTTCTGGAAAGACTCCCATCTGTAAGTATTGCATATTTGTAAATAAAACTGAGAAGCACTGATCCTGCCTCCAGCTTTTCTTCCAGGATGCGAGACCATAATGCAGTGTGTGAATCTAACATAGCATTATTAACAAAAACGACATTATTTACAGGAAATGCCGAACAATGTTCCTCCATGTCAGCTAACAAGAGCATACCTTTAGTTGAGACTTGTTTGTTACTGGTACATCTTGGAACTGAATAAAATCTAGCCCTAATCCTTCATTAGTCTAAGTCTTTGTGCATTTTTCAGTATTCAAGTTTAGAAAGTTTCATTTAAAGCATTTGGGTTTTCCCTCAGTTCTTTAATGTGAATAGTTCATGATTTTTTTTTTGTTTGTTTCTCAGTTCATGGTCCCTTTTATTATGTTTAAATGATCCCTTACTGTCCTTTTTCACAAAAATAAAAATGTAATAACATTTTTACACACTGTTATAAAACCCTGTGTGGACACAAATAAAGATGAGGGTATCGATCAGATGTGCCTTGAGCTCCATTTCCAAAGAAATGAAGGCCACATTTGGAGGCCAGATCCGAAGGAGCCTTTTAAATTGTGCTGCAACTGCTGTGTTGCAAATTCAGTTTGATAATTCTAGATCTTCTATAAAATGTCAAAGAGAGTGAACTGTCTTAACAAAATCCCCCCAAAAATCAAAGATTGGGTAAAAACGATGTGACAATTGCATCAAAAGGCCAGGAAACCTCTCCTAAAACTTATACACGTTTCTTGGTGCTTTTTGTTGCTTTTGTTTTGTATCAGAGGTTTGAAAAACACAAGCCATCTTACAGGTATTGTACCTCCAACAGATTTGGAGTCTTTAAAACCAAACTGAAAGATGACTGCAAACCCAAAAATCAAAACTATGAAATCAAAAACGTGAAACAATAACTGGGCTGGGTGATTCCTACTTAATTCAAAATAGACGCTGTGATTGGTAAATGCATTGGTGTATGCGGGGGCTTTTGAGGGTTAAGCTTTCAGAGGAGTGCCAAGTTGAGGAAACTCGTGTTTTTTAACTCATGTGAGTACTCTCTATAATATTTAACTGATTTAAAAAAAACATACACATTTGTGGAGATTTTATTTGCCTAAAATATCAAGTGACAAAATGTGTGCTAAAGTTTATAAAACAAATCTCAAAACTTTGGTGGCAAGTTGTCCTTTAAGAAAAAAAGCCCCTTTCACTTAAAGTTACAGTCTTTTTTTAAACCACTTTGTTGGCTGATCTCTTTTTTTTCTCAAAACCTACAAACTACCACTGTTCTTCACTGCAGGAGTCACTCTGAACTTTTAAACAATCGAGAAAATCAAAAGAAAAAAGCATTTCCAGAATGCTTCAAAAGCACTTTCCTCAAAGGCTCATTTAGTGCTCATCTCATTATGTGCTCTCGGTTGAAAATTGACCTCGAGCCATGCTTTTCTCTCAGTAGGTTGTCATTTGGCGGTTATCCCAATCATTGCTCCGCCATGCATTGAACAGCCTGTGTGAAGGCGGAGGTAAAGGGGCGTCTGGGAGGGGAACGTCCCAGCAGTGACACCTGAAACGTCAGCCCTCAGCAGTTCACTCTGGCTCTTATCCAGCTCTATGTCTCTCCATTCTTCTAAAACAAATCAATCCATGGTGCTGCGGCAGATAGCGGAGTGCTCCATTACACACACACTTTCCAGCTCATGGACCTGGGTGTGAATTACTGCCCTCAATATGGCATAGCTGCTTCAGGGTAGGTATTATCATGGTACCTTTGGCATAATGCCAACTTGTATTTTGTTTTTTTGGCAATAAACTCTCTGTATGCCAAGTGAGGTATTAATTGTTTTGTGAAAACATTTAATTATTTCTATATAGTCTTGATTTTTTTAGTTTTTTTGTTCCAAACAAGCTACATACCTGCTATGCTACTCTACATTGGCTGTAACTTATTTGACTTTGACAGCACCTCCACAAGTGGTTTTCTTACCATTTCTGTGAGTTTCTCAATGGTGAAGATGGAAACACACAGCAGATAACGAAGAAATTAAGAATAGAATAAGCTGTGTTGACTACAGACTTGGGTGAATGAATGGTACCATAGAACTGGAGGAGTGTGTGATAATTAGCTGATTGGCTGTGAGATTAAGGGTCTTAGAGGGGCTGCAATGGATAGCGTGTTGGACGTCTAGGTCAGTGTTGAAGGCATTCAAAGATGGTCCACCACAGTACCCCTGTTACTCAGTGATATATGGACATTAACAAAACTGCATGGGCTCTGTGGCGCAATGAATTGTGCATTGGACTTCTAGGTCAGTGAGGAAGGCATTTAAAGGTTTTGGGTTCGAGAGTAGGGTTTTCGGGATCGTATGTAAGTGTTGTGTCATATCACTGTGTCTGCTAAGAGCAATTGTCACCAGCAAAGATCCTCAGTTTTTATTATGGATTGAAGAATCAGTTTATTGTTAGTCAGTATTCAAAACTCGGTAATAGCCTTATATTCTGAACACTTGAGAGCTCCTTCATTGTAAAAATATAATTGTATCATTTTCCTTGTAGCTCAAAACCTGACTACAGTTACCCCTGTTGTAGATTGTCAAGAAACAGGGCGCCGTGGTTAAAGTGCCTGTCTATTAAACAGGAGATCCTGGGTTCAAATCCCAGTGGTGCCTTAATATTGTACATGTTTTCCTCACAAAATAGATTCTGGGATTCCTTCATTGTAAACAATATGATTGTATTAGTTCAAAATATGACTACAGTTAACCCTGTTGTGGATTGTCCTCAAAACAGGGCGCCGTGGCTTAGTTGGTTAAACAGTCTGTCTGGTAGACATACACCATATCACCTCATCCTCATCGCAGGCTATGATGTCAGGCACCACTGGAAAACACCCTGGAATGACAAAGCTATCCTTGGAAGGCATCCACTGGGATGTCAACACAAGCCTGTCATAAACTGGGTTGTCTGTCATAAACCTTACACCTCCACAATGAGAACTCTTCTAAAGTGTTCAGGAAAGGGGAGTAGGGTGGCAGGGGAGTTAGTGTTGGTGGTGAATCACCCTCTGATTTGGTTTGTTATGTGGAAGCAGACATAACATGAATATGATGTGCAGGCCTAGGTTGGTGGTCCAGGAGGATCTCTAGGAAGGTGAGGAGACGTTGGGTGTTGTAAGTCATTTGATAATGGTGGCCATGGTGAACCTGTTTCAGCCGTTCTCATGCCATGGTCAATAACATGCTCGCATCTCTTCCGTAATGATGGTGTGAGGTTGTTTTGCTTTCCCTCCAGAACCTTCTCATCTCCCCTGGACCTTCTCATCCTCTTCTTTTTTGGCCTGCTCCTCTTCTTGATGGTCAGATCTTCTCCCTCCTCTGACTTGAATTCCTCTTCCTGGCTCTGACATCATCCTTTGTGTTTGTTTGGAATCTTCAGAAAGCTGTGCACTCTGAACTTGCTTTTATACATGTGATCACAGCATGAGGAACAAGTGTCTTCAATTTTGAGCCATTATGTGTAATGAGTGATGCCTTGGGTTTTCATTGTGTTCGAATATTGCTGACTTTGGCAAGTATTTTGCATCACATGAGCTTTCGTTTGAGAATATGAGCAGAGTTCTTTTGCAACTTCTGTTTTAGCAAGGAAAAATGAGTTTAGATTTTTGAGAGAGATTAAGTAAATGTGTTTAGACAACTGGTTATTTGGTTGGACTTTTTTGTTTTCGCATTTTAGAAAAACTGTACACACTACTTCCTTGATTCTTTATGGTCATGTAATGGGTGATATAACATCTATAGCACCAGTCCTTAACTGACGACACATGTACAATGTAGGCCTTGGTGTGTGCATTACATACTTACCGACTGAAAACGTAACTTTAAAAGAATTGCCTGTAAAAAAAAACCTGACACAAGACCCTGAACAGTTTCAATGGTGACTGTGAGCAAATCCAACTTCAAAAAACCTCTCAGAGCCATTTGTACATAAATTTGCCTCATTTGCATTTCAAAAGCAAGACTCACCAATGACATTCAGTTCACAACATGTTTACGTTCCTCATCCAGAAGTACTCTTGTCACTTGACAGCTTCTGCACTGATCCACTTTACGAGCAATCTAATCGAACCATCTAAGCTATAAATCATTCTGCAAGTTCAGTCAGGTTCCTTTCTTAGTTTGGAGCTCTCCCAAAGTGTACATTTCAGTTTTAAGGGCTCAAATTTGTAAATACTGGGGTAAAAAAGTTGAAGTTTTGGAATATTTTAAAGATGGTTCAAAGTTTAACAATAAAAAGTGAGAAATTTGAAATGGCCTTTAAAACTCAAAAATATGTGACAAACATTTCTCAAACTGTGGCACCAAGTTTAACTAGTGAGATCCACTCGAAATGTTTCTTTATAATACGTTCATTGATTTACAAATGTACAAAAGATTTGCTTTGATACAGCTGACACACGTGTGACCTGCTCATGCTGTGTAAATCAACTGCACCCAATACGGAGCACGTATGGTAAAGGGCAGCAGCAAGCAACATCAAGACAGAATATATGACGAAAGAAAAGAACAGTGCTACAC